ACCCTTGCCTTTATTATTTTTCATAAAGTTTAAATAACCTTCAGGAAATAGTATTTGGAAACAGTAAAGACTTTTTATTCTCCCTTTGAAAATGGATTTCGCAAGTATATAAGTAGCATTCTAAGCTCTTGTTACTTTGAAATTAACATCCCTGAGGAAATCACAGTTTTCGCTTTATTGCTTAAATAATCAGTGAATAATGATATTTACCACAAAATATTCATCTCTGGTTTCATCCCTAAGGGTACATAGATAATGATGCCTTAGGGCCAGATGTTCCATCAGTTCAACCGAAAACGAATGGGTGAAGATTGTTTGGAAGTAGAAACGTTTCGGATAGTAGCACTAGCAAAGCCTAACACTCTTACTGATTTGTTTGAAAGTAATACCCTAACTAATCACTGCTTTGCATCTGTTTATATCATTCCGAAAAGAAAAATAAGGAAAGGGCTAAAGTATTACATTATTATCACATATAGAACAGTAGAGATGGTGTGATTACATCACCTCGCGCATTTGGGCTAAAATTTAGAAGAGCTCCTCAGTATTTGGCTATCATTGGTATTTTTTCCCGCTGTGATCGTTTAAGCACTCGCCTCCTTTGTCATAACCTTTGCAAACATTTCACTGAATATGTTCTTCATAAATAGCGTCTTGTCCTCTTCAGTAAACTTCAAAGAGACAGCTTCCATTGCTGCGATATTACGAAGTGCCTAAAACATGTGGATAGACGTATTTGGAAGATACTTTCAAAGGACCAACAACCTGTAGAAGATCCTCGGGTCTTAGATTATCATAAATATGATATTTTAGATTACCAGAAACGTGTTCCATGACTATATATCCTTTCAGAGGATTTTCTTCAGAAAATTCTTTCATGTAAAACACCTTAATGTAAACTCCGTCTTTTCAGGATAAAGTTGTACAAATTCTGGAATAACCTTGGGTCGTGCCACATTCGATGCACCATATTTATTTAGCATTTTGTAGAGCGTGACTTCGTTGTTGTGCACCTAAGACTATTAAGCTGCCATTTTCCAATCAATCTCCCATTTTCATGCAGTCACTACCTTCTTCACTTGATCTTCAACCAGTTTCAAATGATCGTCCTTTAGGAACTCAATGGCCATGTCACCAAATGCCCCACTGCACTCGATAAACGCAAGCTGCGATGAAATCTAAAAATCAAACATCTTGGACAATAAATTAAGCCAAAGTGAACAGTGACATACCTTAACCACAAATTTTTGCGGCAGTTCATTGAAGTCATCTGAGAAATCTGGTGTTATCAAACAAATCTTTGAAAGGAAACCCTAGAAAACACCATGACGTCCTCTTTTAAGCTACTTCAAAAACAAAGCTCACACTAGCAAATCCTATATCTTCAACATTTTTGTTGTGTCCAAACCTAGCATTATCTCCAAATGCCTCAAATATACTCTCCTGAAGATCTTCCCATGACAAGTTAGTTCTTAGAATGCCTTCGGCTGGCTATACAACGCCATGAAATTTGCTGTAGCGAAAATGCAAATTTGAAGCGAAAAAAAGTGAGGAAACGGTACGAAAAATCTTTTCAATCCTTCGACCTCACAAGAGGAAAATATAAAAGTCAAACGTTTATTCAGAATGTAGAGAAGATAAATAGCAATAATGTATGCTTACATTTACAGAGAGGGCGAGAAGCTACGGTTCTTTACAAACAATCGGACGTCGTTTAGGAAAGCTTAATTTTGATAAGTAGGATGATTCCTTTAAATCGCCTTCACGTAGAAACTCTAGCCTTTGGACCAAGACTTAATTATAGTTGTCCGCAAATTTTTGCTTTTTCAATCTTCATAATTTCGCTCGATAAATATGTTGGTATGCTGGAAGTT